CTTCCCTCATTGTCTGCCAGGAGGGCCCAGGAGGAGCTAGGTGGATAGTTGGGGCACAGAGCTGCTGAGGCTTCAGACTGTCTGCTTTGAGGGCTGAATAAGAATGCTAGACTACATTACCCAGGATCCTTGGGGGCCTGAATCTTCCAGAGGTCATATGGTGGGGCCTGCATGGGCAGAACACTGTCCAGAATCCCAGGGTGTGCCCAGATGAATGTGCCTGTGTTTCATAGGGGCCTCTGTGGTAAGGTTTATGTTGGTAGAGCACTGAAGTGTACTACCCAGGAACATTTGGGATGAGGGTGGGGGAGGAATTAGTGGGCAGAATGGCAGAATATATTCTCCAGAATCCCTGGGTACAGAGTCCAGGTGAGTATGAGGCCTGCATTGGTAGAACACCAGAATACATTACCTGGAATCAGCAGGGGGCAAGAGCTTCCAGAGGCCATCATGGTGAGGACTGCATGGACACTGAACTACCACTGCTACTATCCAGAATCTGTGGAGGTGGCTGGATGAATGTGCCCCTGTGGCTCCTAGAGGGCTTTATGGTGAGGACTACATTGGTAGAGCACTGAGACTTACTACCTAGCTTCCTCCGAGCCTTTGAGGTGAGGGTGGGAGGAGGCATTAGTGGGCAGAACAGACTACACTCTCCATATCCTCTGGTGGGGCAGGGTCCAGGTGAATTGGTAGAACAACAGACTGCACTACCCAGAATCTCCAGGGACCCACAGCTCCCCAGAGCCTCTGCAGTGAAGGGGGCAGTGACAGAAGAACTGCATTACCCAGAAACCTCAGGGGGCTACAGATCCAAGGAGAATTTGCAGTAGGGTGGGAGGCAGCCCCATACAGGATGGGCTGTACTACCCAGAATCCCTGGGGCATGGGAAGGGAAGGTGTGCAGCCTGCACCTCCCAGAAGCTTCTGGGAGCTTCACTTCTGTGTGTAGATTCTCCTCACATTGAGATTGGCCACTATTGAATGGCCATAATCCTAAAATGGAGACAGTCCTTGGCAAAGTAACTGTCTCAAAGACTATACTTCCCAGAGGCTTCTGTGGCATCTTCTGTTTTCTACCTACAGCCCAGGCCTTGAACACAAAGATGGCAAGTCCATTGCACCCTGTGGACTGGGCACTCAGCCATGTGCACCTGCTGAATGTGGTTCCTTTGTCTTCCTGCTCCATGGGCTGCATCTGTGCTTGGAGGGGCTGAGTGCAGAGGATGGAGCTTAGGTGGTCCCCTTGACTCCTTTCTCTCCTCTTCTGAATGTTCACTTGCAATGATGTCACAGATAAATTCAACAAGACATCAGGTAAAGCAGTGGGAACAGATTTTATTAGGTAAACAATCATGGTAGAGGAAAGACCTGGGCTCCTTTATGATCTGTGCAGAGTTAATTTGGGTATTTTAAAGGGGAAGTGAGGGATGGGGAAGAGTATGAGCATGGGAGTTAGTGAAGTAAAAATAGACTTGGTCATTGTAAATGCAATTAGGCCAATTGTGTTTGTGACAGTTGTCAAAGAATTCTGTCTTCCCACAGAGACTGGGAGAGAGGCCTTATCCTGCTAGATGCTTACATTTCAAGGGGAAGGCTCTCAGTTTCTGAGAGAGGCTCCTCTGTATGCAAGAGATGCATATTGTCAATTGTAAACCCTTTCTAAATGATTGGAGCAAGGAAGGTTGAGGGCCTGTCATCAGGTGTTGGTTAGGACATAGTAAGTTTTCCTGGAAGCCTTGAGCTTTCCTCAGGCAGTTGTTTTGATGGACATGGTGGAGGTGGTGGAGCTGGAGGTGGGCATAAGGCACAAACTATGCTGAGTCCCTGAGCTCAGGGGATTTGCTTCCAGCAGGGTGTGTGGACTTGAGGGAACAACTATCTTCCTACCTGCCTCAGGAAAACTGAACTCATGCATCCCCCACCAGGAAGCCCTCACCAGACTCAAGAGGGCAGAGGCAGTGACTGCTCTGCCTTCAGCTGCTGTGGGGAGTGCCAGCCCTCAGCCCTCCCAGGAAACATGCAGAGTCCTTAGCTATCCCTGTGTTGACCTGTGGCCTCTTCTGCAGCCAGAAGGGCCTGGAGTTCCACAAAGGAGATGCCTGTAAGGGAGGCACAGTTAGAGGCCTGGGCTGTGGGAGGACCTTTTGCTCCTACTGTGCTGAACAGGGAGTATGCTATTCCTAAAAGTCAGAATCATGATTCAGCAAGCTGCATCATGCCCATTTTAGGGAAACAGACTAAAGTCCCTGGAGCTGACCCTTGCGTGGGACTAGGCCTTCTGAGAAGGAGTGTCTATGCAATTATCAGAGGCCCTGGATGGAGGCAGGAGGTCCTTCTTCAGCACTTGCACTTAGCCTCTGTGGGGAGATATATTCATCCTCAGTGTCCTGACAACCAGCCCCTCCATTCCCTTCTCCCCTTTCTGTCTTGTTTGACCCCCAGGTTGTTCTACCCTCACCCTGCTCGGGCCCAGTGGACCCAGGTGAGATGCCTTGACCAGGTGGAACATAATCTCCTTTGCCTCATGAGATTAAAAGGGACATTTTTGCTCTTACAAGCTATGGATGGCTGGGAGGTAGAGTTGAAGGACATGTAAAGGGTGGGATTTGTCTAGTTCTGTGCTTTCTGCGGTCCAGGAACAGCAAGATGGAGGCTCAGTGTTCAATTCCAGGAAAGCTGACCTCTTACCACTCCTTTCCTCATCCTCCACTGGCCGCAGGAGGTTGAAAGCTGAGGCCAGAGTCCCCAGACAGTCAGGGAGGGAAGTGAACACCTGGAAGTGGTCATGGCCTGTGAAGTGCCCTGTTCCTGCCCCCTTTCTATGTGAGGTGAGCTCGGGGAGAGAAGTATCTGCAGAGGGTGGGGCAGAATGTGCCTGTATCATTGTCCTAGAGCTGCCTAGCAAAGCACTACAAACACATAGAGTCTTGTTGCCTTAGAGCTCTCAAGTTCAGAGCTCTGGAATTGAGGTGTGGGATGCATTTCCTGGGATGGTCATTGCAGCCTCCCTAGTTTCCTGGCTTTGTCAGCAGAGCTCCAGTCTCCACAGGGTGTTTTTCCTGTGTGCATTTCTGTGTCTGATTCCTCCTATTTATAAGACACAAGGCTATGTAGATTTTTTTCTATAAATTTTATTATTTTGCATTTGAAAATTTAACTTTATGGATTATTTTGAGTAGCTTTTTGGATAAGCCATAAAGATTGTGTTCATTGTATTCCAAATGGGTTTGACATAGTTCATTTTTTTTTCACGATCGTTCTGTAGCCTTTTGTGGTACAGACTTTTTCTCTCCATCAAGTTGCCTTTGTCCCTTTGACAGGACCATTTGACTGGTTTTTACATGGGTCTTTTTTGGGCTCATTATTCTGTTCCTTTTGTCTATTTTCAATTCCTTTTCCAATGCCACACTCTGGGATCACTGAAGCTTTATGATAAGTGCTTGTAACCAGATGTGTAGAGTCTTGAACTATTTTTTAAAAATATCTTTATTTTGTTTATTTTTATGTGGTGCTGAGGATCAAACCCAATGCTTCACATGTGTGAGGCAAGTACTCTGCCACTGAGCCACATTCCCAGCCCACTTTTGAGCTATTTTCGTTCACTCCTATGTCAATGGTTGAATTGATCCTGAACAAGGAAAATCTCTGCATTTATTTATGTTTATTTTTATTCCTTTCTACCATGTTTCAAAGTTTTCTGAATGCATACTTGTATATATTTTGTCAGAGTAATCCTTCAGTATTTCAATTTCAGGAATGCTATTTTTTTAATTAAAATTCCAGTAATTCCTATGTTGCCTCAGCGGTTTCCTTTTGTCCTCTAGCCATCTGCTTCGCCTCTTGATATTTCCATCTGTCTTGGGCTATTTTCAGTTGCTATATCTTCACAACTGAGACTGAGTCATTCATTAAAAAAACTATTTTTTTAATGCCAGGGATACAGCTCAGTTGGTAGAGTGCCTGCCTTATAGGCCCTGGGTTCAATCCCCAGCACCAAAAGGAAAAAAATATTAATTTTAAGGTGTGTAGAGAATCCCAGGTCAGGGGGCTAAATCTGTTGAAGACCTTTTTCTGGAGGGGACTCTGCAGTATCCTGAGACACTGCATGATAAAACCAGCTGTGCCAGAGAGCTAGCTTTTGTAGCAAATCTGTTCCCTTGACAACTCATTGATCCACTAATTAATTAAATAATTAATTTTTGTGGTGCTGGGGATTGGACTCAGGGTTGTGTATATGTGATGCAAGCACTCTACCAACTGAGCTATATCTCAGCCCCTTGATCCATTAATTTATGAATGGGTAAATACACTCAGTAGGGCAGAGTGTTCAGGGCCCAGTCAGTTCTCAGAGTACCCCGTTACTGTTTCCACATAACTTTGGGGAATAGAATTTCATCATATGAATTCTGGATGACAAAAATTGAAGCCATAGCACCATCAAAGACAATCCAGGAACAGAATTTACTTGTGACTTTTATTTTTTTCCATGTTTTCTTTACTTTCATATTAATTCCTTCTCATTAAATGCCTGGCTATTGGCCCAATCCAGCAAGTATCCTCCACTACAAAGTCCCAGAGATGAGTCAGCTGGTCCCTGATAAATACAAGGGAAACAAATGACAACATGATTTAATATTGTTCAAAGGAGAGAAGAATCTCTCTTCTTGAACAAGAGGAGATTGACAAAGATCCTCTGCTTGACCATACTTCTGTCAGACTCCTGAACCCTTTCCTTAGGCTTGTTGCTGCCCTACCTTTTAAAATTAAGTGCTAGTAGAGCACCCTGTTCAGTCAGTTTAGCAAGGACACCCCCTCCCCAGTATCTGATCAGGCTCCTCATCCTCTGCCATACCTGGTGACATCTGGCTACCCTGTCTCCAGTAAGCACCCTGCTTGATCAGTTTAGCAAGGACACCCCTTTCCCAGCATATAGAGCCCTGATTAAACTCTCTTCCCTTGCTTTAATGAATAATTATTTCTCTAATGCTGCAAGACAGAAGATTGTCAGCAAACACCAGAAGCTGAAGAGACAAAGAAGGACCTTCCCAACAGCTTTCAGAGGGAGAATGGCCTTGCTGACATCCTCATTTGGGGATTCTGGCCTCCAGAATGGTGAGATAGAAGGTTTGTGTTTTAACTCACACTTATTTCTGTGCTCTGTTTTGTTGGTGCTGGGAAACGAACACATTGGCTCTTCCTGTACTAAAGATATTTTCTCCTCCCAGAGCACCTTGCTAATCACTTCAACATTAAAGAGACTGTTCTGAATTTGAAGCTGAAAAGGAATCCTGGAGCAGTTTTGGCTTTGGTTGGAGGGCTGAGTTGAAAGACAACAGGGCAGGCGGGGCTTAGATAAGGTCAAGAGTATGTGGCAGGAAAGCAACTGTTTCAGTTTTGAGCCCCTCAATTCTATTCTGAGCTCAGGCCATTCACTGATGTGCCTGGGAACATTCCTGTGTGAAAGTGCTGCTCTCAGCTCAGGGATGAACATCAGATCCAAGACCAGCAACAGCTCTCTTCCTCCATGGGCAGCAAAGTCCATGTCCTGAGTGTCGGGCATTGCTTTCTTCTAACCCTCTACTGCTCAACTTGTTCTTCTGAGGGAGACCTCAGCACTCTAGTCATGTTTCTGCTGGGGTAGAGAGGCCTGATTCCAGCCTCCTCCAGCCCCACAGGAAGAGGTGTAGTGACAGAGGGAGCTACACACCTATCCAGTTGGCATGGATGATCCCTCTGCTCTCCCTAAGCTGGGCTGGGCCTTGACCAAGTGTGTAAATTTTAAGAAGAAATGCATCACTTCTTAATATTCTTAAAAGAAAAAGGTAGGGGCCTGAGGTTGTGGCTCAGAGGTAGAGTGCTCACCTACAATGCATGAGGCACCAGGTTTAATCCTCAGCACCACATAAAAATAAAATAAAGATATTTTTTAAAAAGAAAAAAAGGTAGGAAAGTGAGGATCTAAGATTCCCCTGGAGGAGTGGTGCATAAACACACAAATACAAGTATACACATTTGTGTAGGTGCACACACATACATAACACCCTCACAGTCTTCCCCACCAACTCTGTTACACATACCTATGATACACCCATGCACCTCTGTGTGCCTATACATATGTGTACACACTCACATCCCTGTCTGGCTTGCACTTTTGAGGCTGCAGATTGGAGGAAACCAGGAGAGGAGTCTGGCAGCAGACAGAGGAAGCATCACTTTCCAGGAGACCAGGGCATTCCCTTCCAGACCCAACTCTGTCTCAAATCCTAGACTTCTCTCCAGAGCCAGGAATGGATTTTCCAGGCTTGGGCTTTTTCAGGGGTTGATTCCTATGGGGACCTGAGCTGACATGTGAGTTTTCTGGGTCCTCACTGTTCTGCCTTCAGTGACAAGGGGGAAAAAGGGTCTAGGACTTGGGCTTTTGACTTATTAGCAGACAAAACAGAAGGCCAACAAACAAACATACAAACAAGGGATCAATGTGGGACACAGTGCAAGTGAGCTCCCCCAAACCCTTCATGAGTCATCCCCTTTCCCCATCTAGTAGTTGTGGTGTCACTGGAGATTGGTGTGGTGTGCTCTCTTTGCAGAGTATGATATGTGGGGTCAGGTGTTTCCTCTGAAGCCCCCAGCCCCCTCCACCATCTGGGCAGGGACATCCTCTGAACACCACCCCCACCTTGGGCAGGGACATCCTTTGAGGTATCTTGCCACTGTGAACAGAACTGCTATATGTAACTGCATGCTGTTACCTAGATTTGTTTTCGAGGCAGTTGTCTATGTTTGTAGGATCATGTGGTGATGCCATGTCTAACTTTGGGGAAAATGGCCAGCTTTTTGATAGTAGTGAGCTATGGTGTGCTCCACCAGCAATGCACGAGAGTACCTGTGGCTGCTCATCATCTTCAAGTTGGATGCTGCACTTAAGGAAAGACCTTAGCACCTTAGTAGGTGTGCAGTGCATCTCAAGAGTTTTAGTCTGTGCTTTCTTCATGACAGGTGATGCTAAGAATCCTTTCTATGCTTCTTTGCCATCTCATACTTTCTTGTGAGTTGTCTGTTCAGATTTTACCCATTGGGCTTTCTTATTGCTGAGGTTGTTATTATGTTTAGGACATAAGTTTATTTTAGACACATACTTTCCAATTATTTCACCCAGTCTTTGACATGTCTTTCCATTTCCTTAATATGATTTTTTACAGAGAAATTTAATGCAATCCACATTATCAGTTTTTGTCTTTCATGGATTTGTTTGGGGGCTATATTTAAAGCCTCATCATGAAACATGTGGTCATACATGTCTTCTAGAGTTTTGCAGTTTTGCATTTTAAATGCAATTTTGACAGGTTCTGGGGTCCAGATGTATGCCTTCTTGAGGTGTGTTTATATCCTAGGTTCAGAAACAGTTTGCTGGGAATTTCACTGGGAATGCACTGAATCTGCAGATCAGGTTTGAGATAATTTTATTTCAACTACATTGAGACCTGAACAAGGAATATCTATGAATGTATTTACATTGCATTTGATTTCTTTCTACTGTTTAAAGATTTTCTGAAAGCAGGTATTTCAGTTTTGAGGGGTGCTATTTTATTTTTTATTGATTTTTAAAAAATAAATGACAGCAGAATGTATAACAATTCTTATTACACATATATACCACAATTTTTTATATCTCTGGTTCTATATACAGTATGTTGACATCCAATTTGTGTCTTCATACATGTACTTTGGATAATGTTTGGATAATGATATCCCTAATGATAATGATTCCACCATCCTTGCTAATCCCCTGGCCCCTGCCTTTCCCTCCCACCCCTCTGCCCTATCTAGAATTCATCTATTCCTCCCAGGCTCCCCCTCCCTACCCCACTATGAGTCAGACTGCTTATATCAGAGAAAACATTCAGCATTTTTTTTAGCTAACTTCACTTTGCATTATCTTGTCAAGTGCCATCCATTTACCTGCAAATGCCATTATTTTATTCTTTTTATTGCTGTGTAAAATTCCATTGTGTGTATATGCCACATATTTTATCCATTTAACCACTGAAGGACATCTAGGTTGGCTCCACAGTTTAGCTATTGTGAACTGTGCTGCTATACACATTGATGTGACTGTGTCCCTGTAGTATGCTGTTTTTTAAGTCTTTTGGATATAGATCAAAGAGAGGGATAGCTGGGTCAAATGTGGTTCCATTCCCAGATTTCCAAAGGATCTCCATACTGCTTTCCATATTGGCTGCACCAATGTGCAGTCCCACCAGCAATGTATGAGTGTACCTTTCCCCCCACATCCTCGCCAACACTTATTGTTGTTTGTCTTCATAATAGCTGCCATTCTGACTGGAGTGAGGTGATATCTTAGAGTAGTTTTGATTTGCACTTCTCTAAGTGGAATTAAACCAGAGACTCTGCATCTAATAGAAGAAAAAGTAGGCCCTAATCTTCATCATGTGGGATTAGGTCCCAACTTCCCTAATAAGACTCCTATAGTGCAAGAATTAAAGCCAAGAATCAATAAATAGTACAGAATCAAACTAAAAAGTTTTTTTCTCAGCAAAATAAACAATCTGTTAGGTGAATAGATAGCATACATCTTGGGAGCAAATTTTTACCCCTCACACATCAGATAGAGCACTAATCTCTAGGGTATATAAAGAACTAAAAAAGATAAGCACACACACAAAAAACCAAACAAATAACCCAATCAACCAATGGGTGTGCTATTTTAAATGTTAATACATTTAGAATTCTCTTATTCCAGTTTACAAATTCCACTCTTTCCTCTACATGGTTGCTGATATATAGGAAATCAATGGAATTTTGTCTAGTGGCCATGTACTTTGAGGCTTTCTATCTCCATCCATTCTGATCAAGACAGAGGTTGGGCTATATATTTTTAAATTTTTGTATAGTTGTAGATGGACAGCATGCCTTTATTTTATTTATTTATTTAATGCAATGCTGAGGATCAAGCCCAGTGCTTCACATATGCTAGGCAAGAGCTTTGCCACTAAGATAAGCCCCACCATTCTATTTATTTTTGATTTGTAAAATCATAACCTGAAATAATCAGAACTATGAATTTCAG